CAGGTTAAAAATTGCTTGTTGTCTATGGACACCTCCCTGGGTGACTTGGGCTATGAGAAGGTAACATTTGCATAAGAAGTGCTTCTGATATCACAAAACGGCCAGCCTTGTCCTATTGCTTAGGAAATGTAGCATGGGAGAGACAGAGTAGAGTGCCTTCCACTCTTTCCTTGACATAAGCAAGCCACCTAACTGTGGATAGCATTATTTCTCCAAAGGCTTGTTGTCAGATCATGGTGCTGTCAAAAGGTGGTAGACTCTTTAGGAGGCACAGCCTAATAGAAGGAACTAAAATCATTGTGGGATGCGCTCTTGAAGGGAATATTGAAATCCTAGACCATCCTGACTCTGTTGTTACCAGCCATGAAGTGAACAGAGTTCCTCTGCCATGTGTGTTCTGCTGCCACAAGCCCAGAGGCAATAGAGAAAACCAGAGGTTTCTGAAATGCCTGAATGCTGCAAAAAAAAAAAAAAAAAAAAAAAAAAAGACTTCTTTCTAAATTGACTATCTCATGTACTGTGTCACTGTGACAGAAAAGTACATTGGGTTTATGGCTTTTCTTTCCTATTTCTGGTAACATGGTAACTAACCATGATGTCACTCATACATTGCATGTGTCTTACCTGTGATAGATGCTAGGGGCTGTGCGCAGCACAACAGTGAATTCAAAACAAACCTTGCCTTCCTAGATCCAACCATCCAACCAGAAAGTGAAATAGCACAATTTTCATAGAAAGAGCAAAATGGGAAATACTGTTCAGAATGACACAGACAAGTAAGCAGCTGTGTACTGAGTCTGTCTCAGTGCCCTAAGGACTTACTTGATCCTTGGTGTACTTGTGATCTAATTATAGTATCCTAAGAGATGGATTTATTGTAACTTTACAGGTGTGAAATCCAACATTCCAAGAGTGAGTGATGTGTTGGTGCTGTAGCTCATGAGTGGAGGCAGAACTTCAGCTTTCCTGGCTTGAAGGTCATGCTTCTCCTTTCAGAGCATGTTGCCTCCTTCCTGGGAAGATGCTGGGAGACATGTTAACAGGTGGCAACATGAACCATCTTGATTAAAGAAAACACTTTTTAAAAGAGTCATTTGATTAAAGACCTTAAATGGGTGGAAATGGTATGTGTGGGATCAAAGGCAATGGGCAGGTAGGAGCCCAAGTGTGTTTCTGTAGGCAAGGGCAGTGGGAAGGGGAGGCAGCTATGGATGAAGAATAAGGTTAAGACATGGAAGTCACATCCAGCCATGCCCTCCCTGGAGACTGCTGATACAGACAAGAATCAAGTATGGGGCCTTTGATGTAACATGACTGTCTTGAATAGAAAGGAAGGGGAAAGTATATCATTCCCGTAAAGGTGGTTCTTCAGAAAAATCAGACCTGGACTAGAGAGATGACTCAGTAGGTAAAAACACTTGCATGGCATAAGAAACTGAGTTCAGTTCTGCAGCATCCATGTTTTAAGCCAGATGTGGCAGCACTGGAGAGGCAGAGACAAGAGGATCCCCACGCCTCCCTGGCTAGCTAGTCTATCCAGTCAGTAAGCTCCAGGCTCAGTGAGTTACCTTGTCTCAAAAGTGAAGGTGGAAAGGTGATTTGGAGCTGCTCTTAGCACCAGCCTCTAACCTCCACACATGTGCATACATGCGTGCATACACATTCATACATATATGTGCCCCTACATCCTAGCCTATATATGCACAGAAAGAAAAACCAAACCCAATCTGAGAAACAACCTGTGAGATGCAGTGAGGACTCTAATTCTGGTGTATCTAAAGTGCAAAAATTGTTTAAACTGTAATTCTAGACCTCAAGGAAGTGGCCAGAGCCAGCTAGGGTCAGCCCAGGCATGCCTGAGTAGGGAATGTATTTGTAGAAAAGACCTAGATAGAGGCTGGGGGTTGTGGTTGACTCAACAGACACCTGGTGCTCTGCTGTTTCCAGTTCTCATGTGTATTTGGTATCTCATATTCTTTGTGACAGATACGGAAGGACAGACTATTGAAGGAATAATTATGCTAATAGCTAGCAGTGAGTATCTGAATATACCAGGCACATACCTAACACCTCCGATCCTGAAGAGATTGGTGCTAGAATTATCTCCATTTTATGAGGAAGGAACAAAACAAAGTTAAATAACCAAGGTCATATAACTAGAAAGTAGCAGCACTGGTGTGATGGCCTTAAGATCCTCAGACTTTGCTAGGCAAGAAGGAAATGAAGTGCTGCAAGGGGAAAATCATCCTGGAAAAGAAAGACTTGCAAAGAGAGCAGACCTGACTGATGGTGTTCATTTGCCATCAAAAACTGGGACTTAGGATGGAGTCGCTTTTAATAATGGATGCCTGGTTCGCCACCATCAATAATCACCTGATTTCCACAAAGCTCACATGTTGAGCTGCAGTAGATGTGCTGTGGCATGTTACTGCCTCTTAATACCCCACATTGCCTTTACCTGAAATAAAGGTTAATATCTGAATATTAGCAAGGACTCAGTGTAGCGGTCTTGCTGGTGAACCTGTAATGGTGGCCACACCCCTTTGGGTGTGGCTTCAGGTAGAAAGAGGGAAGCTTGAGGTGTGGCTTACTTTTGAGCAGTCTTTCTCTTGGGTCAACGGATCTGTTAGGAAGGAAGAGAAGCACTCCCGTGGTTTTTTATATTTATCTGTGTAAGTGTTCCCTAATAAACAAGCATTTATCATTCATCTTGGGTCTAGTGAAATCATTACACCCACGCCTTCAACTCAGAGGTAACAAAGACACACAAGTCTGCTCGTTGCTTCTGTGCACAAAGATTTTGCATTTAACATTTATTTGCCCTTTTTGTGTTTATCCTAGAGGTTGGCGTTTTTGTTAAGAGATGGTGTTTTATTTGTAGGAAATCAGTCATAGCATAGGATTGATCATCTTACTTCCATGATAAGCTAACAGGACAGCATCACATTTATATCTGTGATTTTTTAATAGGATTGTTTGAATGCCTGGGTTTTTACATATACAGACACTTTTATATGCTACATATAAATTGCTCCAGATTTTTCTGTTATACCATAATTTTATTATTTCAATCTCAGCCCAGGAGAATGTTTATTGGAAGCTCTGTCCACTTCAGGTTATTTTAAGAGATAAAAAAGCCCCTGGGGTATCCTGATTTCTTCAGCTCCCAAGAAGCCTTAGGTATCCTTTTTTTCTACAAGTCATGAAAAAATTTTTCAGATTAGTTTTTCTCCATCTTTAGTGTAATTTAGGGAATGTCTTTCTAAAGTAGCTGTAAGGACAAGTGGTGTAAGTTGTAACTTTGAAAGCAAACATCTAAGGTTTGAATCCCAGCTTTAGAGCATACCTTCTGACCTTGGACAACCACTGAAATTCTCCTGCATATCAAATTACAGAGGGATAAGGAACCAGACACAATCCTTGATACCTGTGTCCTCTAGACCTGGAAGAATTAATGAGGTAATGCCCAGATAGTCTCTGTCTTGGATTGAAGAGCCTCTCACAAGAAGCCTCCCATGGCAGGCATTCTTTGCCAGCATGCCTTTCCCACACATCTTGGCATCTTGCAGGTCCTCCTTTTATTATCATCACTACATTAGTATCCATTTCACTCTAAAACCTGAAGACATCACTTATATTAATGGAAGCTTCTTTAATTATTAATGCTCACGCAGAACTGTACCTCCAACAGAAACTAAATGGCTAAATATTATTCACCTAATAATTCCTCTGAAATGTGTCCCCCTGAAGCCCTAAAAAAACAATAATTAATGGGAAATTTTAGGTTTAAAGTAAAATTTTGAAATATCAAACAAGCATCATGTCAAAAAATGAAATTTTGTTAAAGGAAATATTTTAGGGGTCAAGAATGAAAATTGAAATTCTGAAAAAAATTAACAAAACACTTTTCATTCCATCCTAGACAGTATATTGTAAGTGGCAAGATAATTTTATTTGTATATTTATTAGTTTGAGAGAAAAGGGGTATCGAAGGCAAGCTAGGGATCCTGATAGCTGCCAAGTGGAGAGAGATGGTTAAGAGCAAGAAAGAAGGTCATGGTTGCTGAATTAAGTATTTGGTTATTTCTTTTCTTAAAAAGTATGTGTATGGCTTGTTTACCTACATGTATGTCTGTGCGTTACAGGTGTGCCTGGTGCCAAGGAAGGCCAGAAAAGAGTATTGCATCTCCCTGGTACTGAAATTATACATGAGAGAACAAGAATGTTACAGGGGATTCAAAATTCCGTGTTATGCATTCCAGAGTTTTTATTTTATTTTTTTATGATGACATAAAAAGCACAGCTCTCACTCACCTCAAAGGGAGTAAGAGATGGTTTATTCTGGAGCCAAATTTGAGAGACCATGGCACAAATTTAGATTACCACAAAGTCTGTGTTCCAGAGTAGTAAGTCTCATGAGGTAGTTATAGAACAAGAAAACTCCAGTAAAGTCTTTTTTTTCAAATACATTCATTATGTACAGGGCAAGGAGACCAGGGTAGTTACAGAAAAGTGGGGAAACCTCTGCTATAGGCCTCAGATGCTACCTGATAACTTTCCTAGCTCTGGAATTGGTAGAAAGTATTGATCTGTTGAGGCATCACAAAAGGTTTCATGTGGTATCCACAGGACGTTATTAGGTCAAACTGATGGGCAATGAATAGCCAATAAATAGGATAAAGATCCCAGTGTAATTTGGCTTTAGATCTGTAACATTCCAACCTCTGCACAATACTGAAGCTTTAATCAATCAGTTATTATAGAATGTTCAGTGTAAGTACAGCATCTTTTTAGGGACTATAGTGTTTGTGTGTGTGTGTGTGTGTGTGTGTGTGTGTGTGTGTGTGTGTGTGTGTGTGTGTGTGTCTGTCTGTCTGTCTGTCTGTCTCTGTCTATCTGTCTGTCTGTCTGTGTCTGTGTCTGTGTCTAATCTAAAATTTTTCTTAATGTGTTTCCTAGTTTTCTTTCTCTTTTCTCTCAGCCATATTTTTGTTCTTCAGAATATTTAGAAGAAACTGGCCTTACTCAAGGCTTGTTCAAATGTTGGCCCAGATCAGGACTCTCCTTCACTGCACCAAGAAGTCATAGCCCTGTTAACAACAGGTGTGGGATTTGGACTGCTTCTCCTTGATGTTCTCAGTAAGTGTTGTGACACTGAGTGTTTAACTACAGAGTGGGTCTCTCTACACACAGGCAAGGCAAGTGAATCTCTCACCAGTTAGCACTCTGGAGGAGGATTGACAGGACCTCAGATGTGCCTTACCTGGCTGTTTTCTGAGCAAGTAAGAGACATAAGTAGAGGTGGTGAAGGAGCACAGGAAGAAACACATTAGGTGCCCTGAGTAAAGAAGATGTTGGCCCAATCCAGGAACTGAAGAGAAAGACGGTGTTGCTTTCCTGTTATTCTTAGAAGAGTCATTTCCTAGAGCCTGTGGCTGCCAACTAATTCACAAAAGAAATCTCTCATCGGTGCACTGTTAATGAGACCTGGAGCTTCCAAGGAAATTAGATTTAACAAAGTACCACACTGTCACTTCCCTGGGAAAATAAGCAAAGAAGAAAAGGTGACATTATGGGCCTACTTTGCTCCCTGGTTGACAGCCCCTGATTTGGCTGCCTAGTGCAGGGACAGAAACCCTGTTGGCTGTAGAAGCCTGTGTTCTGCCTTCTTAAAGGATTTAAAGGAGCCCATTCATAAAACAGATAAATAGCTACAAAGGTTGGTGAAGCAAATCCCAAAACTTTAGCCTGAAAGGTATGTTTTGTGTACAGTAATAACCCAGTTTCAACTATAACCTCATATTGATTCTCAGAGGGAGGTGACAGCACTACTGGTCATGACATTTGAAGTGACATTCTGAAATGATTGTTTTAGGTGGCCTAACTAGGTTCTTTATTATCTAACTCAAGGTACAGGTTGTTGTGGGATATTTGTACTCTGTGTGAAGATGTATTGCTGTGGTTGGTGTAATTAGAAACTGAACAACCAATAGCTAGGCAGGTATAGGCTAGACTCTTTGGGAAGAAGAAAGGCAGAGTCACCCATGAGACGGAGTAGAAACAGAAAGTACAAGATGGAAGAGAGGTATCACTACATGGCAGAACGTAGAGAACGTAGATTAATATAAATGGGTTAGTTTAAGTTAAAAGGGCTAGTTGAGACAAGCCTAACCTAAAGGCCAAGCTTTCATAATTAATAGTAAGTCTCCATGCCATTATTTTCAGGCTGGCATTCCCCATAAGAAAGTACTGTTAGAACATGTAACAGAGCTGTAACGAGGGCAGCTAGACCATGACTACACATTTGCTTTCCAGAGCAGTTAACCTGGTTAAAGAGAAGAAAATACTAGCATGGCCTTGTTTCCCTGAGAAAATCAAAAGAATTCAGATGGAATGTAAATCTATGTTTAAATTGCTAATAAACACAAATATCTCAGAAAAGCTTAACTCCTACCACCCAATTAAGAATATCATTAAAGTAGAAAATCCCAAATCTATTCAGATAACCAGTGGCCATGGCTTTCCATCTGGCCTTTGGATTATGTGTCCTCTGAGAGGATGTTGATGTTATACACTCAGTCAGAAATATAGATAACCATGTTTGTGTCTTTGTCCACAAGGTCAGAATTCATTGACTAGCAGTAAGTTCACAAGCTGCATTTGTTTTAATGCCAGCAGTTTACCAAGTAATCTAGATTTTCCTTGATATTGTGGCCTTTAGCAATCACGGATTTTTCTATTCCTATTTTAATTACTGTTGTTAACCTTCACACCACGTTTCAGGCAGTGATACAAAGAGTGAGTGGCTATGAAAGGTTTAAAGATGTATTCCTGTAAGTTAAGGAATCTAGTTTGAGAGTTAATGAGGTGCCCAGAGCATGAAGTGCAGGAACATTGAGGCAAGACATAAGACCAGTGCCAGATGCATAGGTGAATGGACTGTCCGAAGCCAATTGGGCCACATCAAGCTCTGGGAACATAGTGAGCTGAAGCCCTAGGGACATCCAGAAGTTCTCTGCCTACAGTGCCTTGACATAGACATCAGATGGTCAGATGACAGGTTGGTGGTGGCTCTCGCTATCAAAGGTGAAGGAGTTGCCCTGCTTTGATCTTGTGGATCTTTGCTGATTGGATTTCAATAGCACCAGCACGTGTGTGCTCACAGTCTACTTCAGGTAGTTACATGAAGTTTCTCATCAGTCACTTTCTCATGATTCACATTGTACCATGGTGTCTGTGAACAGACAAGGTTCAGTCATTGTGCCTCAGCATTTGCACTCAAAATGGAGCCAACTACTGCTTTGTGAAGTGGAGTCATCCAGGGTGAGGCACAACCTAAAAACTACTGTTTAAAAAAAAAAAAAAAGCCACTGTTTCCCACAATGCAGAATAACTTAGAGCAGGGCAATAGCTCAGAGCAAGTCACAGCATGACTCCACAGTGGACAATTGTGGCAGGAACATTCACACTGATTCTGGTGCTTTTCTGCAAATTGGTCCAAAATGACTGTGGTCTGCCCTCTCCCTCTCCTCCATCAAATTCCTGATATAAGAATGTTGCAAATTTGTATGAGACCAAATCTTGGGATAGTTAATATTAAGAGACCTAAAAGCTTCAATTTGGCAATATCAATCAGTGAAGACTGAAAAACCTGTGACTCATGTCTTCTTTTTTATTATTATTTGTTTTAATTGACACATGTTTTCTTAAGTTTCCCTGGGGACACATAGTCACCATTAATAATGAGGGTACCAACACACCAAGCAAGGGTTCTGTCCAAGTCCAACTTAATAAACCAATGGATTTATTAGGGTTATTTACAGGGGCATGAGTGACGTAAGCAGCTATACCATGAAGAAGTCCCTAGTCAATCTTACACCCCTGTGTTCTCTGGCAGCAGCTTCTCTGCATTCAGCAGGGTCAAGAAGGAGCCATACTCAAGTGAGGTCTCCTCACCTGCCCACTCCTTCCATAGCCTTGTTGTTGTTGTAGACCCCACTACCAACTGTATGGCTGGCTCTGATTATTTCATTATTTCATTAGTCTGTATTGGTCACCACAGCCATGCTGCCCAACCCAGAAGAAACTGCTCCACTATGGCACATAGTAATCATTCTTATTTATGAGGTACAGTGTGACACCTTAATACATATATACTATGTGTAGTTTTTTTTTTAAAGCTTGGTTGTATCCTCTCAAGGATAATAAAGCTTTTCCAGAAGTCCCATCTGCCCTCTACACTAGTTTTTAGCAATTATGTTGTAGAATTGTGCCCAAGCCATTCCCTGGGCAACCACTCTGATCATATCAGTTAAGACTGGTGACACAGTGCAGGACTTCCCTGGGGTGAAGATGGAGTTTCTGTTTTACCTGGTCCCACCGCCATTTAGTCCCAAATAAACACACAGAGGCTTTTATTAAATATAAACTGTTTGGCCAGTGGCTCAGGCTTCTTATTGGCTAGCTGTCTCTTAATTATTAATTATTAATTATTAATCATTTCTATTAATCTAAGTATATCCATGTGGTCTTGGCTTATCAGAGAATGCCCAGGCATCCTGCCTTTTGGGTAACTACATGGCAACTCACTCTCTCTGTGTTCCTCTTCTCTGCATTCTCCTAGTCTGATCACCCCACCTATACTTCCTGCCTGGCTACATCCTGCCTGTCCATTGACTGAAACAGCTTTATTCATCAACCAATAAGAGAGACATGTTCATAGCATACAGAAGAACATCCCCCATCACTGGGGCACAAGGGAGACTGAACATCCTACCATTTTGAAAGGAAAGGTGAAACAGGGGACAACCTGGAACAGGTCATCAACAGCATCATCTGCCAGAGTGGGTCCATTACAAGGGGTCTGGTAACCTACATTCACCACTTTAGCAGGTATTGCCTGGTGGCATTAGTGAAGCATACACTTGCATTTGAATCCTGGCTCTCCCCTTGATGGCTCTGTCACCCTGACAAGACCTCTGTGTTTCAGTTTTTGCTGATAAAAAAATGAAGAGCACAATATCTCCTTTAGAGGATTTTTGCATGATAAATGCTATACCTGGCACAGGCCTTCATTCCCAGTAAAGTCTAATCCTAAGGGTAGGGCTTAATAGAGGCAGCCTCAGCAGTGTCACAGGCATTTGTTTGCTAGGACTGAAGAAAGTGAGGATGCTGCTATGCCATTAAACTAGCAAGCCGTGATATGGAGGTAGGTAAGACACCCTATGCTCTAGCCCAGGCAGGCAGGTTGAAATACAGTGTTGGAAGCATCATCTGCCGTGAGCGGGAGTTAAAATATTCTAGGTAGTAAAGCAGTAATGCAAAATGTGTGTCTTAGAGAAATTGTGGTAACAAGAAAATATAATTGTAGAGAGTTGATAATGGAGCATAATATCTAGGTAGAAGACCCAGTAAGAGCTCATTTGAGTGATGGCAGAAGGGAATGGCAGGGAAAGGAAAGGGGTGAGTAGATGATAGGGATAATATACATGGTGATTGCACTGGGTTGGGGGTCAAGAGATAGCTCTGGTCAAGCAGTATAGATCCAGCAGTCAATACTGTGAGAGCGCTGGTAATGAAGCCATGGGGATAAATGAGATCGCAGGTGGTAAATATTTATTAAAGACATATTGGTGGATTTCTGGTGTTCTGTAGCATTGCCTATCAATATGCATGAGGAATGAAGGCATGAAATGAATTTTCTGCTCCTTTGCTGTCATCTCTCCTGTGATTTCTTCCCCCACCAATTGCTTCCCCTGTAGATGAAGCTTTTTATTTTTTTAATTCTGTGGACAAGAAAGCCTTAGCTGTCGCTAAGAAATACCACAGCTATCACCCACCCTGTCATGGTGATGAAAAGTATTGGCAGGAGTTGGGTAGACTCTGGGTCTTAGTTCACCCCCATTTCAGTCCTGACTCCTGGGTACCAGCCATGTAAAATTAAGGCATCTCCTAGACCTCAGTTTCCTCCTACAAAATAAGGCTAACAGACCAACTATTTAGAACAAGCCACATGACTTGTTACAAGCAGTAACACTGGTTGGTGTCCACCTGGCCCAGAGGAAATGATCAGATGTGAGTTGTTAGCACTGCTAACCATACTGCATTGTCTTTCCTTTGTGTAAACATAAATGTATGTG